GCTGCTGGAGGTGCTGCTGGTGCTGGATTTGCTGGTGCTGCTGGTGCTGGAGCTGCTGGAGGTGCTGGAGCTGCTGGTCCTGGAGGTGCTCGAACTGGAGGTACTGGAGCTGCTGGGGCTGGTGGTGCTGCAGGAGTTGGAGCTGTAGGTGCTGGAGCTGTTGCTACTGGAGGTGCTTCTGGAGCTGGAGCTGCTGGAGGTACTGGAGCTGGTGGTGCTGCGGGAGTTGTAGCTGGCGACCCTGGAGCTGAGGGTACTGGTGCTGTCTTTGCTGTTTGTGGAGGCGCTGCGCGGCCGCGGCCGTACTACGTTCCGCTCCTTCAGCAGGTTCTTGGTCTCCCGCATTCTACTGGTCCTCCTCCTCCCTTACTGAGTCCACCGCATGTCCAGTCACAGTCGCAGTTACAGCCAGCCTCTCCACTGCCTGGTCCTTCTCCTTACTCTGGACCGACTAGAGGTCTTACGGAGCGTCGTGAGCCTGATTCGCGTCCTGTGTCGCCTGAGTCTCGTCCTGCGTCACCTGAGTCTCGTTCTGCGTTGCCTGTCCACACTTTTTGCGCTGGTCGTCGTGTTTCGCGTCTGCGTCCTCCTCCTGTCCCTGGCACTCACTCTATGAATCTGCGTCCTTCCACTGCTCCACAGCGTGTCCCTCTGCCGTCTCCTCCTGCGTCCTCTCTTCCTGACGGTCCGGACCCGGAGTCTGACTCCCTTCGTGCTGCTAGTCCTACTGTCTCGCGCTTTCTGGCCACTGCTGTCACTGACCCTTTGTTTGAGTCCACTGCTGCGCCTGCTCTCGTTGCTGAGCTTGTTGACTTTGCTGCAGCCTGTCGCCTAGACTTTGCCACTAGTCTTGTTGCTGAGTCTGCGTCTGAGTCTATCTGTCCTTCGTCCGTCGGGGGTGAGTGTGCTCTTGGCACGGACGTTCTTGAGGACAGACAGGAGGAGTTTGAGTGCTTTGCCGCTGCTGCACCTCATCTCGTGTCCATGCTGCTTGCCCCTGAGGGAGACCCGGATGCACCAGACATCCCGACCCCACGCTCTTACGCAGAGGCGATAGAGGGTCCCTACTCCTCTCAGTGGCAGGCAGCCATGGACGCCGAGATGGCTTCCTAGAAGTCCACAGGCACCTACGTCGACGAGGTTCCCCCGCCTGGGGCGAACATCGTCAGTGGCATATGGATCTTCAGGGTGAAGCGGCCGCCGGGTTCTCCGCTTGTCTTCAAGGCGCGTTACATTGCACGTGGCTTCAGTCAGCGACAGGGAGTTGACTTCTTCCAGACCTTCTCCCCTACCCCGAAGATGACCACTCTTTGGGTACTGCTGCACGTCGCCGCTCACCGTGACTACGAGCTCCACTCGCTTGACTTCAGCACAGCCTTCCTACACGGCAGCCTGCACGAGGAGATCTGGCTGCGCCACCCACCTGGCTTCACTGGGTCGTTTCCTGCTGGTACCCAGTGGAGACTCCGGCGGCCAGTCTACGGTCTCCGCCATGCACCCCGTGAGTGGCACGACACACTGAGGACGACTCTTGCTGCTCTTGGGTTTGCTCCTTCCACTGCTGGCCCGTCGCTGTTTTTACGCACTGACACCACTCTGCCACCGTTCTACATTCTCGTGTACATAGACGACCTCGTCTTTGCTACTGCTGACACTGAGGCACTCGCCCACGTGAAGTCCGAGCTGCAGAAGAGACACACGTGCACAGACATGGGTGAGCTGACAAGCTATCTTGGCTTGCGGATCACCCGGGACAGAGCACAGCGCACCATTACCTTGACTTAGTCATACATGGTGCAGCAGGTCCTTCAGCGCTTCGGCTTCACGTACTCCTCGCCATAGTCCACTCCTCTGCCTACCGGTCACTCGCTCTCAGCTCCACCTTCGGACGAGTCCGTAGAGCCGACTGGCCCGTATCCAGAGCTTGTGGGCTGCCTCATGTACCTGATGACTTGCACACGACCTGACCTCGCATACCCTCTCAGCCTTCTGGCTCGCTACGTGGCTCCCGGTAGGCACCGAAAGGTGCACTGGGATGCTGCGAAGAGGGTGTTGCGCTACCTGTGCAGTACGTCGGGCATGGGGCTCGTGCTTGGAGGACGAGTTCGAGTTGTCCTCACTGGTCACCGAGACGCCTCTTGGGTTGACGACTTGGCTACGCAGCGGTCGTCACAGGGTTACACCTTCAGCCTTGGCTCTGGTTCTGTCTCTTGGCGGTCTACCCGCTCGTCTTCTGTTCTCAGCTCCAGTTGTCAGGCTGAGATCTACGCTGGGGCCATGGCTGCACAGGAGTTACGCTGGCTCACCTACCTGCTGACCGACTTGGGAGAGGCTCCTCGTTCTCCTCCAGTTCTGTACGTCGACAACAAGGCCATGCTTGCCTTGTGTCAGGAGCACAGACTGGAGCACAGAACGAAGCACATTGCTCTGCGCTACTTCCTTGCTCGAGAGTTGCAGCAGCGTGGTCAGCTTCGTCTTGCTTACGTGGCCTCATTGGCCAACACTGCTGATGTTTTCACCAAGGCACTTCAGCTTTGTGATCATCAGCGTTTTTGTACTGTTCTAGGCCTTGTACCTACTGTGCCTCACTTGCTTACTTCTTGACTCTGCTTGTACTGTACTTTATATACATATACCTGCATGCTTACACTTGCTAGGTTGTGTTCACTGTATTGTTTGTTCTCCTTTATATAACTCTGCATGTGAACTGGCCTTGTGGCCATTTGCTTGTGCTCAGACTGCGTGGTGATGTTGTGATCCACCCTGAGCTTGTTTTGCCTTTCTTGACTGGTCTTGTGACCTCTTGTTCTCCCCCACTTTGCCTATGGGGGTGTGTCAAACTTATATGCTATAGTCTATCTAGGCTGTAGTTGGGTAGTTCATATAGGGTACAACACTTTTAGGTTTCCTACTTGTACCCACCTGCTTGCTAGTTCAATCATTCATTCGTTCCATATTCTAACAGTACCCAACTTCTGCTCAATGCATTCATTCTCGTTCGTTGGTTTGACACCCTGCTCGCTGGGAAGACTCGCTCGCCATGTTGGAGTTTGCCTTCAACAATGCCCCGTCCAGCACGACTAATCTCAAGTTGGTGACACCTGTCACCGCGAAGCTGTTGCTACCCGACGACTGGCGTATACATGACGCCTTCCACGTCAGCTTACTTTGCATGTTCGTGCCAGCCACGATAGACATTGCACGACAACAGGCTGCACCAACGGCACGTCCAGTACCAGAACCGACACTCGACCCATCCAAAATATTGGAGCATCGTGTATGTCTGGATGCCGCTGGTCGCCACGTGGATTTTCTCATCCGTTGGACTGACCGCACCAGTGAAGACGACACGTGGGTGTCATCCGTCTCGTTTGAAGAGTCTCTGCTTATTGGTGATTATCTCGCCCGCAAGCGAGCTGCGTATATTGACCGCCTTTCTTAAGGGGGCGGGGTAGTGTAAGGAATTTTCCCGAATTCCTTATCGGGGTTGACTGCTTCGCGTACAGCCCCGATTTTCGGACTCTGCACGTTTGGCCGACAACAACGATGCCGAGGCTCCTCGCGTCGCTTTCGGCGTTTCCCTTCGCCAAACCTGTACTTAACCTCGCTCACCCGAGGTTCCCTCCTAGCTAGGCTAGCCATTACATTAACGTGTGCCTTCATTGAATGCTCCGTCTGTTAAATCACAATCTCGTTATTCGTTAATCTGCGCACTCTCCTTTACAACTCATAACAATACGCATTTGTAACAGTCCATGTTACCACATGCTCACGATGTAACAAGATAACCGCATAACCAGTCGTCATTCATTTTTGACGCTATTATAAGAGCTCCGAAATTGGTGTACATGTAACTGAATTTGTAGCCTTGTTTACCTGCATCATTTTCGCATGGAAGATTGTCGCAACCAATCGAATTTCGGAAGAGCGAACCAATCACGGCGGTCCAATCGGATCCAACCTTGAGACGCTGATTGGCTTGTTCAGTTCAAAGGTACGAGAGAGAAGTTTTCTGTTGTCGTTAGATAAGCGGCTGAGATTGGGTGTTCAGTTCGAAGTTACGAGAGAGTATGATTTGTGATAACGCTAGATAAGCGGCTGAGATTTAGCTAGTACCTTTCCAAGAAAATTCTCAACAACCCATCCCAACCAGGGTTACGAAGAGGTATGTGAGCCACAATCTTTGGGGTAGGTCTTCGAAATCTTACGGGAGAGCTACCGCAATGTAGCGATCCCATAACTTAGGAAACTCAGACATTTTGGGATGTAATTACCACCCCACGGTTCGAACCATGGAATGGCGAAATGGTGCCGCGCTCTAACAGACGCATAGTTCAGACACGCCATTGTTCGTTGACGTAGTCAGATAGCATGAAGTGGTCAGAGCCGGCGCACCCTGATGCTGTATCAAAGCGCGATAGGACGATCCTAACGACCGGCCGCGCAACAGATTAATGTTGGACGGTACAACGTTCCTTCAACACCGAAACGCGATTCACGGTGACTTTTGAGTTGACTCGAGAGATTCGTAACAGCGTCACATTGCTGACAGTACGAGATTATTCCTTCGCGCTTTGGGCTGCAAATCGTATCCCAATCCGCTAGCGAAAGCAGCATACGAATGGCGAAAAATCCCAACTGCGTGTTCTGCGACATCGCCAAGGGCGTCACTCGGCCGGGTCGTGAGCCGACCACGTTGCTTTACAAGGTGACTCGATTGTGGGTAGTAGCTCGTATCGCACTGCTTCGAACTGTGGTTACGTGTCTCTGAGTTTTCTTATGGGTCGTACAGTTTTGCTATCACCTCAAACGAGTCGTGCCTATTGATGGTTACTGTTGTCATTTGACTATTTCGCAATCTGGCACGGCATTGCATTGACTGGCATTGCATGGCATGCCATGGGATGGCATTGATTGGCATGACATGAAGAAGTCTGACATGGAATGGCGGCATGGTGTTGTGTCATATGTGCTATTCTGTGGATCGTTGTGCAGAGCAGGATGACTCGTTGATAGCATTCCCTGATATAAAGCCAGCTGCTCACAAGTGAGTCACAACACAAGCAGACGGGGTTTGATGGACTGGGTTGGTGGGATGTTGTTGGCAGTGGAAAATACCACTGTGAATGTGCTGTGTGGGCATAGATGTGTGTGCCGTGCATGCATGTGTGTGTCTCTCTGCCATACATGTTGTTCTTATTCCGATTCTGGTCATTATTTGTACAGTGATTGGTTCAAGCCCCATTGAGTGTTTTGTCCTATCTCGGTCTCATTGAGCTTTGTTGTGTTTCTCCACCATCCACTCGTCCACGTGTCCGTCCATCCATGCATCCACTTATCCATGCACATGCAGGCACATCCATGTCATCGAGCACGTACCAATAGTGAATCTCAACCCCATAGGGCGTGGTTGTGGTTGTCATCCATCCATCCATCCATCCACTTATCCATCCATGCATCTTCCATGCAGGCACATACAGGTCATTCCCATCGAGCACATACCAACAGTGAACGATCTCACTCCCAGCGAATCACATAGACAGCTGGGTGCGTTGTTTCTTACCGCTTCTGCTTGTTATGCATGCATGTGCTCCTGTATGTGCACAATGATTTTTGCATGCATGTATGCATTCATGAGTGCATTGCATTCATATGTGCATGCATATGCAAATAGTTCTGTGCATGCGTGTGCGTGTGTGTGCATTCATGCTTGCATCTTAACCTATCTCTCTCTCCATATCTCCTGTTTCTTCCTTCCTCGCATCTGTTCTGTCCCATCCACCTTCCCACCTCCTCCCAAGGTGCAAAATTACGGTCGTTTTTTTGAAAATCAACCGTAAAATACGGTAACGTGTAATAGGCTCCTGTTAGAAATCGTAGAGCAGTTTAAAAAATACGGCCGTATTTTTGCACCCTGCCTCCTCCATTCACATTCTTCATGAAGAAGCTTGGTAAAGCTGCTTATAAAGCTGCTTATAGAGCTGCTTATAGAGCTGCTTGTAGAGCTGCGTATAGAGCTGCTTATAGAGCTGCTTATAGAGCTGCTTATAGAGCTGCTTATAGAGCTGCTTATAGAGCTGCTTATACAGCTGCTTATACAGCTGTTCATAGAGCTGTTCATAGAGCTGCTGCCAGCTCTACTTTTGAGACGTCTTAAAATACGACATTTGAGACGTCTCAAAGGTCGTCTGTTTATAGTGCTGTTACCAGCTCTACCTTGCCACTCTACCTTCATAAGAGCATCGCCACCTCTGCTCCTCATTCGTCCTTGCTTGCATCTCTCTACATCACATCCAAAGCTTCCCTTTTCTCGTATGCGTTCTTGTTACATTCACCATTCAGTGGAGAGGGTGGTGGGAGTGGTGGGTCATAAGCTCTCCTCCCTCCCTCCCTCCTTCCTCCCCTCCCTCCCTCCCTCACTCCCTCCATCCATCTCTTCCTCTCTGCCTCCCTCCCTCCCTGCCTCCCTCCCTCCCTCCCTCCCTCCCTCCCTCCCTCCCTCCCTCCCTCCCTCCCTCCCTTCCTCCCTCCCTCCCTCCCTCCCTCCCTCCCTCCCTCCCTCCCTCCCTCCCTCCCTCCCTCCCTCCCTCCCTCCCTCCCTCCCTCTCTCCCTCCCTCGCTCCCTCCCATCCTCTTCCCCTCGCTCCCTCCCTTCCTCCGTTTCTTCCTTCCTCCATTCTTCCCTTCCTCCCTTCCCCTCTCCTCCCTCCCGCCCTCCTCCCCTCCTCCCTCGCCTCCCCCCTCTTCTCCTCCCTCCCTTCCTCCCTCCCTTTCCTCCCTCCCCTCCTCCCTCTGCTCATCCCATGCAGTGGAGAGCATGGTGGCACTGGGTCAAAAGCTCGTGAAGGAGCAAGCACCCGATGCCAAGAAGTACCAGTGAGTGTGTGCGCCAGTAGGAGTAAATCTTTGTCGTTTCTCCCTCACGTTCTAATTCTCTTCCCTTCTCAGCCCTCTAGCTCTGGCCTACGCCGTCCTCCTTTCAGCAGTGCCTGCCAGCTACCCCCACCTGCTCTCTCATCTCTATTCATCCAAATTTTGAGACGTCTCAAAAGTCTGTGCCAGCTACCCCCACCTGCTCTCTCATCTCTATTCATCCAACTTTTGAGATGTCTCAAAAGTCTGTGCCAGCTACCCCCACCTGCTCTCTCATCTCTATTCATCCAACTTTTGAGACGTCTCAAAAGTCTGTGCCAGCTACCCCCACCTGCTCTCTCATCTCTATTCATCCAACTTTTGAGACGTCTCAAAAGTCTGTGCCAGCTACCCCCACCTGCTCTCTCATCTCTATTCATCCAACTTATGAGACGTCTCAAAAGTCTATGCCAGCTACCCCCACCTGCTCTCTCATCTCCATTCATCCAACTTTTGAGACGTCTCAAAAGTCTGTGCCAGCTGCCCCCACCTGCTCTCTCATCTATATTCATCCAACTTTTGAGATGTCTCAAAAGTCTGTGCCAGCTACCCCCACCTGCTCTCTCATCTCTATTCATCCAACTTTTGAGACGTCTCAAAAGTCTGTGCCAGCTACCCCCACCTGCTCTGTATCCTCTCTTCATCCGCCCCCGCCGGCTCCATTCCCCGACTCTTCCATCCCGCCGTTTTCTCCCGCTGCCCTTCCCCCACAAATTCCTCCCCACCCAAACCGCTCATTTACTCCCCTCTTCCCGTGTCCCCTGGTAGCTTTGTCTTTTATCGCCTCCTGCCCATCCTCCAACCCATTCCTCGTTCGAGTTCCCCCTCTTTCGCCCCTCCATTTCCCCTCCCGCCCAACCCATTCTGCTGCTCTCTCCCATCCCCATGCCCCCTGCTAGCTTCAGCTTCTACCGTCCTCCATGCAACAGCGTCAACCACCTTCCCCCTCCACTTGCACTATCGACTTTGTTCATCAACTTTGCACTTGCACCATCTCCCTCCCATTCCCCCCACCAGCTTTGGCTTCCACCGCCCGCCATTCAGCAGCGGCGTAAACCACCTTCACATCGGCACCCATCGGCACTGCCACGCTTCTCGCTCACCCCTCCAGCCCATCCTGCTGCCTTATCCTCCCATTCCCTCAACATCTCCCTGAATTTCCCCCATCCTGTTCCCCCTTCCCCGTGCCCTCCTAGCTCTGGTTCCACCGTCCTCCGTTCAACACTTGAACCGCCTTCACTTCCACTGCTTCACTGCTCCCTCCCGTGCCCTAATCTTCTCCTCAGCTCTCCCCATCCCCACCTCCCCCTTCCCTGCGGCCCCCCACCAGCTTTGGCTTCCACCCCCCGCCGTTCAACAGCGTTGACCACCTTCACCTGCACTGTTTCGCTCTCCCCTTCCACTCCTCGTGAGCAATCAAAGGATTTCTCAGTTTTGGCTCCTCTTTGCTGAGCCCGTGTCGTCACGCATGGTTGGAAGGGCAGCAGTGCTACAGATCGCTTGTAGCAAATAAAGAGAGAGAGTAACAAAACCCTTGCTAAAAGAATTCTGAACGCGAGAACTGTATTCACTCAAAGAGGACAGGTCGCAAACATGCTTCGGCAAGGCGGGGGGAAACCCGTCAAGCCGTCATCAGTGCTTCGCTCTCCCCTTCCACTCCTCGTGAGCAATCAAAGGATTTCTCAGTTTTGGTTCCTCTTTGCTGAGCCCTGGTGGTGAGGTCCTGTCCATGCTTCTCTTTTTGAGGCGCCTAAAAAATCTTGCTTCTCACCAAGGTTAACTGGAGGAGTCACTAGTTGCTGTCGTAAAATGAATTCCAACGTTTGGGAAAAGGGGGAAGGATATGGTCTGTTGACGTTTGACTTGTTTTATCATTCTGTTCTTTGCAGGTTCCATCGGCAACAGTACACCCCACTGCAATTTGTTCCATGTTTTATGACACCAGACGCATTATTAGAATGGCTTGGAAAGGCAGCAGCAACAGACCAAGTGACTTGGGTTTAGAGTCAACATACCGTATTACCCCGGATAGAAGCGCACCTGCGCTTATAATAAAGCAGAGTTTTTTAGGTGGGTGCGCTTCTAATTGTGTCATTTTTATAATCGCATGCGCTTATATAATGACAGATACAGATATATAAATTTATAGCATGAAAATGTACATCTCAGTCGTACCATTCCAATCGAGGCAAAATTTTATAGCGCCAGGAATCAGAATCGCGCGCTACCGATTTTTTTCCAACACACAAGGACAAAGACACGTCAGTTTGCCCCCATGCCAGCACATCTTCACCTGACGTGCAGCTTCTGAGGTCTTCGCGAGTCAAACGAAGTGATTAAGAAATTATGCTCGCTTCAATTTTGAAACTCGTTACTGTGTTTAGCAGATTTTAAATAAAAAATAATGCATGCACTTCTAATAAAACAGGGTTTTACAGGGGGTGCGCTTATAATTGAGGATCGGCCATAAGCGCATTGCTCCAGATGTAAGAGCATGCGCTTTTAACATGCCTGCGCTTATATCCGGGGCGATACGGTACCTACGGTAATTTGAGACTGTTTAGAGGGCTGATTGGCACCATGCCTGTCAATTTTCTCATAATTAAGGTGGCATGGCCAATATCCTTCTGCTTTGAATGTCTTCTTGGTCAACAACACCTGTCAAAGTACTGAACGAGAATGATTGAATTGAACAGGAAGTGAGTACAAGTACTCACCCTAATTGGGTTGTACCCCTTATGGGCTACCCCAGTACAGCCTACACAATGTAAGCACTATAACATTTTTACACACCCCCATAGGCAAGGTGGGGGAGAACAAGTGGTCACAAGACCAGTCAAGAAAAACATAGCAAGCTCAGGGTGGATCACGAAGTCACCACACGTTCTGAGCACAAGCAAATGGCCACAAGGGCAATTCACATGCAAGATTATATAAAAGAGAACAAACAGTACAGTGATCATACCCTAGCAAGTGTAAACATGCAGGTATATATATAGATCACAGTACAAGCAAAGTCACGCAGTGAGCAGGTCAGGCAAAGTACCGTAAGCCCCCGGATAGAAGCGCCAGCCTATGATAAGCCCCGGCGCTTATAAAAGGCTTATGGCGCTTATATCCGGTCCTCGATTATCAGCCCACCCCTAACGGCTTACGGATTATAAGTGCCACCCTCTGTAATAGTTTTTAAAATTTGGCTGGAAACGCAGTAACGAAACACAATTTTGCATCCTCACATTCAAAATTTCGAATCCCTTCACCCTCGCGTGACTCAATGCCTTCGCGTCCAGTCAGAATGAGCTGTCATGGGGTCAATCTGACTCATTCTGACTGTGTGTGTTGGCAGGGAATCAGCCACTGCTAATTTACGCGAAATTCATATTCATTGCCCTCTACAATATCGATTCGATTCAAATCGAAAGGTCGAGATGAACACTTTGGTGTTAAAAAACTAGATTTCATATGTGTCATTATATAAGCCCCGGCGCTTATAAAAATCCTCAATTATAAGCCCACCCCCTAAAAGAACGTGTTTTTTTATACCCCCAGGGGCGCTTCTATCCGGGGGCTGACGGTAGGCACAAGGCCTAAGACAGTACAGAAACGCTGATGATCACCAGACTGAAGTGCCTTGGTGAATATATCAGCAGTGTTGGCCCGAGTGGCCACGTAAGCAAGACGAAGTTGACCACGCTGCTGCAACTCTCGAGCAAGGAAGTAACACAGAGCGATGTGCTTCGTTCTGTGCTCCAGTCTGTGCTCCTGACACAAGGCAATCATAGCCTTGTTGTCCACGTACACAACTGGAGGAAAACGAGGCCTCTCTCCCAAGTCGGTCAGCAGGTAGGTGAGCCAGCGTAAATCCTGTGCAGCCATGGCCCCTACGTAGATCTCAGCCTCACAACTGGAACTGAGAACAGAAGACGAGCAGGTAGACCGCCAAGTTACAGAGACGGAGCCAAGGCTGAAAGTGTAACCCTGTGACAACCGCTGCGTAGCCAAGTCGTCAACCTAAGAAGCGTCTTCGTGTCTAGACAGGACAACTGGACCCCATCCTCCAAGCACGAGCCCCATGCCCGAAGAACTGCACATGTAGCGCAAAACCCTCTTAGCGGCCTCCAAGTGCTCTGGTCGGTGTCTCCCGGGCGCAATGTAGCGTGCCAGGATGCTAAGAGGGTAGGCAAGGTCAGGTCGAGTGCAGGTCATAAGGTACATGAGGCAGCCCACAAGCTCTCGATACGGGCCACTCGGCTCAACGGACTCGTCCGAAGGTGGAGCTGAGAGTGAGTGACCGGTAGGCAGAGGAGTGGACAGTGGCGAGGAGTACCGGAAGCCGACGCGCCGAAGGACCTGGTGCACCATGTGTGACAGAGTCAAGGTGATGGTGCGCTGTGCTCTGTCCCGGGTGATCCACAAGCCAAGATAGGTGCGCGGCTCACCCATGTCTGTGCACGTGTGTCTCTTCTTCAGCTCCGACTTCACAAGGGCCAGTGCCTCAGTGTCAGCAATGGCAAAGACCAAGTCGTCGACGTACACGAGGACGTAGAACGGTGGCAGCGAAGTGTCGGTGCGCAGAAATAGCGATGGGTCAGCAGTCAAAGGAGCAAACCCAATAGCCGCAAGCGACGTCCTCAGTGTGTCGTGCCACTCGCGAGGCGCCTGGCGGAGACCGTAGACTGGCCGCCGGAGGCTCCACTGGGTACCAGCAGAAAACGACCCAGTGAAGCCGGGTGGGCGGCGCAGCCAGATCTCCTCGTGCAGGCTGCCCTGAAAGAAAGTTGTGCTAAAGTCAAGAGAGTGCAGCTCGTAGTCACGCTGAGCGGCGACGTGCAGCAGAACCCGAAGAGTGGTCATCTTCGGGGTAGGGGATTAGGTATGGAAGTAGTCAACTCCCTGTCGCTGAGTGAAGCCTCGTGCAACGTAACGAGCCTTGAAGACAGGCGGAGATCCCGTCGGCTGCTTCACCCTGAAAATCCACATGCCATCGACTATGTTCGCCCCAGTAGGGGGAACTGCGTCGACATAGGTGCCTGTGGACTTCCAGGATGCCATCTCTGCATCCATGGCTGTTTGCCATTGAGAGGAGTAGGGACCCGTAATCGCCTCTGCGTAAGAGCACGGGGTCGTGATGTCTGGTGCATCCGGGTCTCCCTCAGGTGCAAGCACCATGGCCACGAGATGAGGTACAGCAGCTGCAAGACACTCAAAGTCCTCCTGCCTGTCCTCAAGGACGTCTGTGCAAAGAGCACACTCACCCCCGACGAACGGAGGACAGCCAGACTCAGACGCAACTACAAGACTAGCGGCGCAGTCGAGAGGACAGGCGGCAACAAAGTCAACAAGCTCAGCAACTAGGGCAGACGCAGTAGTGGACTCAAACGAAGGGTCAGTGACAGCAGTGACTAGAAGACGAGGGAGAGTAGGACTGGTAGCACGAATTCAGACTCAGGGTCAGGAACGTCAGGAAGAGAGGACGCAGGAGGAGACGACAGGGGAACTCGCAGTGGAATAGAAGAAGGACGAAGTGCCATATGGTGCGTGCCGGGGACAGGAGGAGGACGTAGACAAGGAATACGAGGACCAGTGCGAACATCGCGAACAGGCGAGGCAGGATGAGACTCAGGCTCACGACGCTCTGTAAGAGAGTCTGTCTGCTCAGTGTAAGGAGAAGGAGCAGGCAGTGGGGAGTCTGGCCTAAACTCTGGCTGCGACTGGTGAGGCGGTGGACATTGTAAGCTAGGAGTAAGGCCAGCAGAAGATGGGAGACTAAGAACCTGGCGAATGACCGAGTCAGGTGGCGACAGAGACGACGGCGTCAGTGGAACGCAAAATGGGCGCCGCTGCACAATGCCTCCAGCACTAGGACCGCTAGCTCTAGCACCCCTAGCGCCAGCACCTCCAGCTCCAGGGTCTCCAGCTCCAGTGCCTCCAGCTCCAGCGCCTCCAGCGCCAGTGCCTCCAGCTCCAGCGCCTCCAGCTCTAGTGCCTCCAGTACCAGTGCCTCCATCTCCAGGGTCTCTAAATTCAACACCTCCACCTCCAGCTCCTCCAGCTCTAGCGCCGCCAGCGCCAGTGCCTCCAGCTCCAGGGTCTCCAGCTCAAGCGCCTACAACACCACCAACCCCGGCAGCTTCAGTACCTCTAGTACGAGCACCTCCACGACCAGCAGTAACTCCAGCACCTCCAGGACAAGAAGCTCCAGCACCTCCAGCTCCAGTGCCTCCAGCTCCAGCGCCTCCAGCGCCAGTGCCTCCAGCTACAGGGTCTCCAACTCCAGTGCCTCCAGCGCCAGGGTCTCCAGCCCCAGCACCTCCAACACCACCAGCTCCGACAGCTCCAGTACCACGATTACGAGCACCTCCAGGACCAGCAGCTCCAGCACCTCCAGTACCTCCAGCTCCAGCAGTA